GAGAGTCTTTTTCCCAATCCCAAAGGCAAGGAGAGAGGGGAAGTAGGAGCAAGTAATATACCTTAATTCTACAATAATTGCACGATGGAGATTGTAGATCACTATCATTTTTCTTTGAATTTTGGTTGAAGTTTAGCGAATTTTAAAGATATTTTAAGAAAATAACATTGATAAAGTAGTAGAGGACGATGAAGTAAGTTCGTCATTGTCTAAAGTGATTAGATCGGATGCCGAAGAATGATAACATGAGATGAAATTAAAACTCTAAAAATTTAACATACAGGTGATCAGAAACGAAAAATTTAAAAGTAAGTGATCAAATTAGATTTTTAAAAAGCTTTGAAATTGTCAAAATTGAGTGACGAAAAGAGTAGTTTACTCAATAAAATAACCTTTGAAAAAGCTAACAGGTATATGTCTCTTACTCCATGAACCGACGACCCCTGCACTCCAAGTTCACCAATAAATAATCCCCACGTACCCTTCCCTCATCCAACAAACATTTATCTTCTCCTCTCTTCTTCCCAATTCCATCTTTGCTACTTCCGTCGAATCAAAGTAACACCAACCCACAACAACCCTTGCCATATCTGAACCAAACATCAGTGTTCTTTACAGGCAAAAGAGAGAAGTGGGTGTTTTTCTTTTTCGTTTCTTTAGTTTTCTCGGCAGTTTCTCAGGTAATTTATGCGGTGTAGCAACAGTAAACCTGGGAAAGGCAAGGGACCATTTTTTCGAGGGGATATTTGATTGCATCCATGAGATCACGTCCCTGGCTTTGCCTAGGATGAACCAGTCTGCATATGGAGTGGAAACCACCGCTCGTCTCGCTCAATGGAGGATAGATAATCTTGCCTCTTGCACTTACCGCAAGTCCGATCCTTTCAAGATCGGCAACTGGAGCTGGTACGTGAACTCTCATTCTTTGTTTTTCCTTTACAAAGATTCAAAAAACAAAGGAATCAATGAAAATTAACTTGGATAAAAGACCTTGTTTTTGTTAACTGTTTTTCAGAGTTTCCTAGAATTTTTTGTTGTTTATTGGAACCAAGTTCTTATACCTTGCTTTATGCGGATTGAAGGCACTTGTCGGTGGAGAAGAACAGGGTTCTGTATGTTAAATTATACCCAGAAGTATCGAATCTAACGAGAGATAATCCCCCAATTGCATCCTTCGTTATCCGTGTTGTCTGCTCAGCTGGAGATCGGAAATCTTTCACTCATCCAGGTAGTGTTTTTTATGAGTATAAATTCAGATGGTTCGCGGTCTTTGATGCTTAATTTTTTCCAGTTCTATTTGTCTCTCTGATTGTAGAGATAACAGACAAGCAGCTGAAGAGCAGCGAAGATTTCGTCTGGCCGATCAATGTTCCTTTGACGGGGAAATTCATTATTGACGTCGAATTTCTCGATCTCAAGACTGCATCTCCGAATGTAATACTCGATCATGTAAAAGATAATAGGAATTGGGGTTAGTTAATAGTATCATACCTGAATTAACAGTTAAAAGTTCGGTGTTGATTCACAGGGTGGGGAACCTTGCTCCATTTGGTCTGACGGATTAACGCAAAACCAAACAAATGCAACGGCTCTTGCATGTCTCAGTCGGATGTTAACACAAGGCATCCAAACGGATATTGTTATTAATGCTTCGAATGGAAGCATCGGAGCTCATCGTGCTGTTCTTTCTGCATGGTCGCCTGTTTTCCACAGCATGTTTTCTCATAAACCTGCAAGAAAAAGAATTCTCAACCATAAACATATCCGACATGTCAATCGAAGCTTGTCGGGTGTTATTGTGTTACATTTATGGAAACATCAAACACGAAGAATTTTTGGCCCACCGGCTGGCTCTACTCCGGGCAGCTGATAAGTATGATATCTCAGACTTGAAAGAGGCATGCCATGAGAGTCTGCTGGAAGATATTGACATAAAGAATGTACTCGAGAGACTCCAAAATGCAGCTTTATACCAACTGCCAAAACTAAAGTCCAGTTGCATGCGATATCTCGTGAAATTCGGCAAGATATATGATATTCAAGATGATTTTAATGCTTTCATGCAATGTGCAGACAGGGAGCTGATAGCTGACTTATTCCATGAAGTTCTAAATACCTGGAAAGGATTCTAAGACTGTACCAATGATAAACAAAGTTAAAGTCAATGGTACTTCGTAGCATCGATGAAGATTGTAGTGTGTGGGATCAAATTTGTAAAGATGATTCTTTTGTTCGTATGAAATTCATGTATTTCATGTACATATACATGTATGGAATTCTTGTGTACATGTACATGTACATATGTATTGGTTTCCTTTGACAAGAACATACTATCCTTGTAATCAGAATTTCAGGAATGCTACATGATTTGGCTAAAACTGTTACAATTCTCAAGTTATATAAATTTGTACTGATATAACAAACACAAACAAAGTAAAATAGTTTATATATCCAGCTCAGACAAGTCATAAGAGGACTCCATTATCCATATATCATGCCATATCATGTGTATGAAGAGCAAAACCAGAGCTAAAAACTCAGCACAATCATCACATGGATAGCAGAAATAGAGTTTCAACAGTATGTACTCACATGGCGGCCGGTGACAATCGAATATTTTCCGTAGCATTGCTTGGAATCTCTGAAAATGAAGACGAATATGGAGAGAATGAGAGGGGAGCAATGGTGGGAATAAGAATAATTTGATGGAACTGGAATGGGAATGTGGAGGGAATATTATTAGGATCCTTTTTTTTCTGCTCCTCTTATGTTGTTGGTAATTACAAATTGCAACAGGCTGACCCTTGACTCAGCCTGAGGTTCAAAAGCCCATAACATAAAAGAATATTGTGTAGTTCCATTCATGCCAATTTCATGAACTCGTCGCATAATATTGCATAGGTGAAAAATTCATTGGTATTCAGATGGAGTTTAGTTATAACCCCCAAAAGTGGGGTTACTTTAAAGCTTAAAACAGAAACCTTAAAACCAAAAATCTTTCAGATACACTACTCATTCAATAATGGACTCAAATATCCATTTGAAAGGGAAAAAATCTTAAATGCACTCCCATTAACTAAAGCATCAAAGAGATGGAAAACATTAACTCTTTTGCTCTTTAGATGTTTGATTGACCTCGCTACTCTCTACTTCACCAGCACCTTTCTTTACATTTCCTTGATGGCATCTGCATTTGAGCAATGGTTCTTCAAAACCGTAGAAATGTCAACTTCAGAAGCTCCAGCAAGCTTGAAGCGCTCAACGGCGGTATCCAGATGACTTTTCCAACCATCCATTCCTAATTTGCATTCAGCTTGGGATCGTTCAAAGAGCATGTTGCCCCAGAAAAGATGTATTGTGATCTCATTACAGCTACTTGTTCAGCTGCTTCCTCAGGTGAAAGCTAACCCTGACTTCCTGGGAGCTCACCTTCTGCAGCAGTTCCAGGTTTCTTCCTCCTCTTAGACAAATCCTCCTTGATTGAGTTCGGATCTTTCAACTCATTTGCTTTCTGCTGCTCCAACTTCTCCCACATTTCTGTAGCAGCTTTCATCTTCTCTTCAGCACTGTCAAAAAGTTGAAATGTCTCGGAAGGATCCTAGCTTGAGAGATCTATTTTCTTTGCAAGTGCAAAAGACCAGTTAAGTTTGGCCATTTCAAATTGCTGCTGTCCCAGTGCCAGCAGCCCTTCATAAAAGTCCGGCTTGATTAAGAGCGCTTTGGCATACTTCTCCCGGGCCAAAGAATACTTTTCCCTAACCCAGTCATAGGCCACTTGAAGCTGTGCTGAAACTACCTCCTTGCCAGCAGACTCGTCAAGGGGAATACGTTTCCTTGCAGCACACATATGAGCATTTCCCCAATTAATGAAGGCTAAAGCAGCCACCTCTTGGAATTTGGTAGCAGCTTTGTCAAAGATGTTTTTTTTATAGGAATTGAAGGCCTCGTTAAAAACCTCCTTCATGATTAAAGGAACTTATAGATAAGCTCCTTAATCGGCGGGAGGAAAAGAGTGCCTTAAGATTTCATTAATCATTAAAAAATACAAGATACAACCTGAGAGCCACCCACAACATAAACATAACACCAAAAGCAGCCACAAACAACCCTAAACAACAACATATCTTCAGGCTAGTAGCTGTCTCCTCGAGAGCAACCCGACAGAGCTCCATTCAAAGCTCATGCAATTCGATATGAGCATCAGGGTCAATATCTACATGAGTGCAGAAAAGCTGAGCGAACTCAGAAAGCCAGTCATCCATCTCAACTTCCTTGCACTCCGGATCTTCTGACGCCCTTACTTTTTCCTTCGAAGCTTCTTTCTCTGTCTTTTCAATTTCGGTATCGACACCTTATGACACGCTATCACCAAGAGACGAGTGAGACCCACTTTCATCAGCCTTGGCTCCCTCACTCTCCAAAGGCTTCTCTTCCTCTTCTTCTGGTAACGGCGGCTCCTGCTCCGGACTCACCTCAACAATGTGTAACCTCAACATCCCAAATCCACTGGTTTTATCTGCTTCTGGTTCTGAAGGAATAAGACCATCTACAGAAGATTCTGCCAACCTGAGTTCTGTCGTGCATGTAATAGTAACCAAATCTCCATCATTATCCTTGTATTTGATCAACACTGATTTGGATGAAGGAAACCGTTTTCTCACGATCTCTCTCAACACTTTGAAGCTACAATTAACTGGCATTTGGGAAAGCCTTATATCATGATCGTAAACAAGTTTCAAAGGCCTCTGTTGAATTACCGCCTGCTGAACTTGCCCATGAACAGGAGATGAAATAGACTACTTTCTCGGGCCAACCTTATTCATATTATCAGTTGCTTTCAAAGAACCACTTGAGGGCTTCAGCACAAGTCTTGGAAACTGGGCCTTGTTATCAGTGCCGTTTTTAGCTGCTGCATTCATTTGGATCTTCTCCAACTTATTATTTGGTGATCCAACTGATCCTCCTGGAGGTGAAGAGGCTTTCTTAGGCACCGGGCGAGCAGGTAAGCAAGGCCCAAGGCCAGCGATTGGGGCACCACGAACAGCAGAAGCCCCGAGTGCAGCCGGGGAGGGACGGCTCTGGAGGTCTTGCTGAGCCTCCTGGAGAGTACCCAATGCAGTCCTTAATCTCCTCGCAATCTCCAAAGCATCCTTGTGATTGGGGTCATCCCCCAACAAAAGCTGCACATCCTGCATCGCCATTTCATACTTCCTAATAGCTTCGAAAGCCCTCGCCCTCCTAAGAAGTGCTCGGGAGAACCGAGGCTGAACCTGAAGAGCCATATTACACTCAGCATCACGGTGTCATAATCAGCGGGTTTCATTTGCATCAAGCAAGCGGCTCGGTTGCTGTGAAAGACAGCTCGGTCGGGGTGTGTTTTGGGGATAAGCTTAAGAGCATCATCATAGTGTTTAAGGGCAGCCACGTAATCCCTATTCTGAAACCTCTTATTGCCTTCCTCTTTGAGTTCATGGGCTCTTTTCAAAAATAGAGAGTCTAAATCAACACCACCATTAGCATGTGCACTAGTATTACTAGAATGATTATCAACGGAAACCTGGTTCGAACTACCCTTCTTTTCCTACCACCTGATTTCCCCATGTAATATGGCTCTTCAGGTTCAGCCTCGGTAACAGCAGAAGCCCCGAGTGCAGCCGGGGAGGGACGGCTCTGGAGGTCTTGCTGAGCCTCCTGGAGAGTACCCAATGCAGTCCTTAATCTCCTCGCAATCTCCAAAGCATCCTTGTGATTGGGGTCATCCCCCAACAAAAGCTGCACATCCTGCATCGCCATTTCATACTTCCTAATAGCTTCGAAAGCCCTCGCCCTCCTAAGAAGTGCTCGGGAGAACCGAGGCTGAACCTGAAGAGCCATATTACACTCAGCAATCACGGTGTCATAATCAGCGGGTTTCATTTGCATCAAGCAAGCGGCTCGGTTGCTGTGAAAGACAGCTCGGTCGGGGTGTGTTTTGGGGATAAGCTTAAGAGCATCATCATAGTGTTTAAGGGCAGCCACGTAATCCCTATTCTGAAACCTCTTATTGCCTTCCTCTTTGAGTTCATGGGCTCTTTTCAAAAATATAGAAGAGTCTAAATCAACACCACCATTAGCATGTGCACTAGTATTACTAGAATGATTATCAACGGAAACCTGGTTCGAACTACCCTTCTTTTTCCTACCACCTAATTTCCCCATGTAATATGGCTCTTCAGGTTCAGCCTCGGTAACAGCAGAAGCCCCGAGTGCAGCCGGGGAGGGACGGCTCTGGAGGTCTTGCTGAGCCTCCTGGAGAGTACCCAATGCAGTCCTTAATCTCCTCGCAATCTCCAAAGCATCCTTGTGATTGGGGTCATCCCCCAACAAAAGCTGCACATCCTGCATCGCCATTTCATACTTCCTAATAGCCTCGAAAGCCCTCTCCCTCCTAAGAAGTGCTCGGGAGAACCGAGGCTGAACCTGAAGAGCCATATACACTCAGCAATCAGCAATCACGGTGCTTAAGAGCATCATCATAGTTTAAGGGCAGCCACGTAATCCTTATTCTGAAACCTCTTATTGCCTTCCTCTTTGAGTTCATGGGCTCTTTTCAAAAATATAGAAGAGTCTAAATCAACACCACCATTAGCATGTGCACTAGTATTACTAGAATGATTATCAACGGAAACCTGGTTCGAACTACCCTTCTTTTTCCTACCACCTAATTTCCCCATGTAATATGGCTCTTCAGGTTCAGCCTCGGTAACAGCAGAAGCCCCGAGTGCAGCCGGGGAGGGACGGCTCTGGAGGTCTTGCTGAGCCCTTCTTTTTCCTACCACCTAATTCCCCATGTAATATGGCTCTTCAGGTTCAGCCTCGGTAACAGCAGAAGCCCCGAGTGCAGGGGAGGACGGCTCTGGAGGTCTTGCTGAGCCTCCTGGAGAGTACCCAATGCAGTCCTTAACCTCCTCGCAATCTCCAAAGCATCCTTGTGATTGGGGTCATCCCCCAACAAAGCTGCATATCCTGCATCGCCATTTCATACTTCCTAATAGCCTCGAAGCCCTCGCCTCCTAAGAAGTGCTCGGGAGAACCGAGGGAACCTGAAGAGCCATATTACACTCAGCAATCACGGTGTCATAATCAGGGGTTTCATTTGCATCAAGCAAGCGGCTCGGTTGCTGTGAAAGACAGCTCGGTCGGGGTGTTTTGGGGATAAGCTTAAGAGCATCATAGTGTTTAAGGGCAGCCACGTAATCCTTATTCTGAAACTCTTATTGCCTTCCTCTTTGAGTTCATGGGCTCTTTTCAAAAATATAGAAGAGTCTAAATCAACACCACCATTAGCATGTGCATTAGTATTACTAGAATGATTATCAACGGAAACCTGGGTCGATCTACCCTTCTTTTTCCTACCACCTGATTTCCCCATGTAATGAAAAGTAAATCTTTCTCTGTCTGTTAAGTCACTCTCTCTCTCTCTCTCTCTCTCTCGGATTATTTTCTTATTCTTATACAATAAAAATACAAAGAAATCTTCGAAACTACAACTGAGTTACATGCGATGAGAACCCAGAGAAGATTTAAGATATAAACAGAGACAGAGAGAAATGTTACTTGCACAAAATACTTAATAAAGCAGAGAACTTTGGTGCTGTTGGATTGGGTAACTGAACTGGAATAGTGGGATTTGCAAAGGCTTTGATTGGGAGATTAAGAGAGGGATAAAAGAAATGGGAGAAAATGGAAGGGTTTTTGTTTTGGGTATTGGGATGTTGAACTTGAAACCTGGAGGTAGAGGTAGAAGAAAAATAATTATCCAAAGTTAGGGATCAGTTGATCAATTCTTTCCTAGCCGTTAGATTAATATACTCTTTGTATTATCCACCTAATGTACTGTATCTGACAAATTAGGATAACCTTTAACTATGACCACTTAATTATGTGCATATTTCATTTTGACCACTAATCTTCCGATTTTGTCAATCATACCATTAAACCGTTAGCATTACAAGTGGTGAATCGGTGATGTGGCTGGAAAAAAAATTAGGGTAAACTACGCATTTAGTACCTACACTATCAGTTTTGATTCATTTTAGTACTTAAACTTTCATTTTTTAAATCAAAACTAACATTTAGTTTTCGTTTCATTTTAGTACTATGCAGTTACAATTTAACGCATTTAGTACCTAAACTATCAGTTTTGGTCTAAACTTTCAATTTTTTCAAAATTTAATGTTAAATTTTGAACGAGTACTAAAATGAAATAAAACTAAACTTTAGGTATTATTTTGAAAAACTAAAAGTTTAGGTACTAAAACAGACCAAAATTGATAATTTAGATACTAAACGAGTAATTTACTCAAAAATTAATCCACTTTATTAGAGTACAATAAACTGGAGACTAAAGGTATTGGGCAGGTTCGAAAGCAGGAGTGTACGCGCGTGCGAACCACTTATCATTTAGATTCATTAGCTTCCTTTTGTGAGATGGCCTTAGTTTCTCTTTTTGGCTATATATGCATATGTTTTAACATTTTTTGTTACTGCTTTTATCAATATGGCATAGATTCCCTTTTGAGACAGCAACTCTGTTCATGACTCTTCTATTTGTAGCTATCATAATGCAGGTATGAATGTATGTATGTATGTATGTATGGAATGACAGTGATGACATACATGTTTGCATTTGCAATTTGCAGGAAGGAACTTCTAATTACTTGAAAGGTCTAATGCTACTTTCTGCTATCCCTAGTGGCTGCAGGCAACTTTGTACATGAAGATCCTTCCTCCTGGTTTGTTACATTATTAGAATTGAACACATGGGCCATGCCTATGCCCATGCCCATTCATGATGCATACATGCTTTAACTGACTAATCAAATTTGCAGATACATCTGATGCAACTACAGCTGATGCAACAGTCATTTCATCACAGCTTACTTAGCTAATATTTAGTGCTTGTTAATTACTAAACAAATACTTTCTTATCTTTTAGTTTTTATGTGTATGGTTAAATCAGAATCGAAATTCGATATATACAATTGAACCGAGTTGAAGTTTTTTTATAAATGTTGGATGGTGGTACCTTCACATGCACGTGAACTTGATTAAAATAATTATCCACAAACCTCATCACCCTCGTTTATCTCTGTCTGGGTGGATATTCGGACGCCCGTGGACTTGATTAAATAATAAAGTATTTTGCTGTAACGGTGGTGTTTGTTTGCATATTTATGCGCTCTGTGTTGATGTCTCTGCCTGGAGTCTTCTGCTTTCCTCTGCGCTTCCCTATTATGCAGTGTTGCGGACCTATGGTTTGTCCTTAGCTTTTTTCAAGATTGCCTTATGTGGCCCTTGCGTGCTGTTCTCGGCATTTTTTCAGTTTTTCCCCCCTGGGTGGTCCTTCTTTCCTTTTGTGGCTGTTTCATGTTCATTATCTTATGGCTTATGTTCGCGTTGTATTGTATCAACTTTGGCTTTTAGTTTTTGAGGTGGTAAATCTGCTCTGCAAGTTGAACGTGGCATGTTGCATTGCATTGAGTTCATGAATGAGAAGGAACCCGGAGACGAAAGGTACGTTCATGTTGTTGATTACGACGACACTGAAGTTCGAGAAGCAACGGAAGCCGAAGCCGAACAGCGACGAGTTCAAGCATTTTCTGTACGATTGGAAGAACATATGGGATCTGTCATATATAAGAGTATATACACTGTAGTTTTGTCGAAGAAATTCAATGTGCTGATTCCCTTCGAACCTCTAGCAATCCTTGTCCAGAAAAAGACCAATCGAGACGTGAGTTTTACTTGTTTATTTTATTACACATAACTACTGTTGTTGCATCAATGTCTTTCCTAGCTGATCAGTTGGTTCACATTAATTCACAGGGCTGGGTCTTTTTCTTGGTTTTACTGGGTATAATGCCATTGGCAGAGCGGTTGAGTTATACTACAGAGTAAGGATTCATATATTATCTTTATTCCCTGTAAATATAGCTCAGCCTCGGTTTAAGCAGCTAACATTTTCATTGCTCTCCTCTTATTACAGGCAGTTGGCGTTTTACAGTGGACCTACAGGTAATGTATACTTTTATATATATGTGTGTATATATATATTTATATGTATATGCACTTAAATTTTGGAATGAAATTTGCAGTTGGGGGTATGCTGAATGCTACATTCGGAAATGCAACGGAACTTATTGTATCGATTTATACACTTTGAACCGGAAGGCTACGTGTAGTTCAGCTATCATTGCTGGGTTCAGTTTTGTCAAACTTGTTATTTGTTCTTGGGATCGCATTCTTTTCTGGTGGGATTGTTAGAAAGGTGCAGGCTTTCAACAAGACAACGGCTGTTGTGAATTCAGAACTGCTGTTGATAGTAATGATGGGACTACCCTTCCCAGCATCCCTCCAGCACAGGCACTGAAGTGCATTTCAGGACATCGGAGTTGGCTCTTTCGAGAGTTAGTAGCTGTGCCTGATTCTAGCTTATCTTGTCTCCATCATTTCCAGTTAAAGAATCTAAATGATACGGTGATTATCCATCATAGCTGTGTCATGATACGGTGATTATCCACAACACACACTCTAGTTCGTGTAACATAGCTTGAGATTTATCCCACTAAAAAAGTTACAAAACACAACTACCGTAACACACTTGAAAATTACAAGACTCGAGAGAAACCATCAAACATGATCTTTTGGAGGTTTTCGCAGTAGATTTGGACATTATGGTGGTGAAGGTGGGGGGGGGTTTGGTGGTGGTTTTTATTTGGTTATTCTGGTCGTTTTGGTTCACCGTGGATATGGACATGAAGGTGGTGGTTATGGAAGTTCTATTCATGGTGAATAAGAACTAAA